CCCGTAGCAACCTGTTGCCACTGCAGCCCCAGCCCCCGCAGGGCGGGCCGACGGGTGACGCCATCCCGTCAGATCCTCCCCAATGCCCCCCCCCCCGACCTCCCAACAGGTCACGCACTGGCTGTCCTACGAGACCAGTCCACGGGCCAAGATCTTCAGGCGCGACCAGGCCAACGTGCACAGCGTGCGCAGCATGGCCGGGCTGATGCGCTCCAACAACTGGCAGCACGACCCGGTGAGCTGGGGTCGGCTGTGATGGCGGCTGGTGCTTGGTCTGTGCAGCAGCAGGAGGTGGTGGCGGGGGCCGGGGCATGGCGTTTGTACGGTGGCGAGTGGGGATCCATGCGGCGCGCCTGCCTGCTCGGGGGCCTGCGGGTCCGCGGGCGGCATCTGATCCGAGAGGCCGCACCAGCCAGCGCCGCCTGCCTGGATCATCCGCCTTACGTGTCGCCCCCCCCGACGCAGCTGTCGGAGGGCCACCCGCTGTGCGCGGTGTGCGGGCGGGGCGACTTGATCCCGGATGGTCCCCTGTCGCGCGGCTGCTATGACACCAAGGTCACCTCTGCATCGCATGCGCGCAAGGTGGGTTGGCGGGTGACGCGGGGGGTTGGCCCTGCAGGGTCATGCCCAGGGGGGGGTGGCGGGGCCGCTGAGAGACGGCGACGCCCCTTCAACTGGACTTCTTATGGATATGAATCGTCATGACGTCTTGCCTGGGAGATTGGCCATCGCCTCAAAGTGTGGGTGTTCAGGGTGGTGGGCGCTGCCTCACCCCACACCCCGCCAGAGTCACCATCCACCCCTTGCCTCCGTCCCGCAGATGGTGGCTTTTGCTGTCAACGGCCCCACAGAGGGCCACGACCTCCCACCCTTCGACTGGCGGGAGTTCAAGGGGCAGGGCCTGCCGCATGCGGGCATGCCGCAGCGCTTCCAGCACCGCTTTGAGGCCATGGCCGTCGGAAGCATGCAGGAGCTGGAGGAGCGGTGCCTGCATGCCACGGCGGCTATGTGACTCACAGCATGCAGCAGTGGAACACTGTGCCTGGTGCAGACGTGGCGTAGTGTGGCTGGCAGCCTGCTGCCGAGGGAAGTCGGCTTGCAATAAACGCCAGCCTGTGGGCGTGCTGAGCCACCCGGGCTGAGGAGACTCAATGGATCATGAAGGCAATCACGCGGCAGCTGGGAGTGCACATGCACCGCTTGTGAAATGCGAAATGTGAAATTCTTACCACCCTGCGCGTACATGGGCATGTGAAGCTTGGCTCAGGCAGGCTCCTTCCTCTGGCCGGTACCGTTCAAATGTACGGAACTACCGATCCGGTCTTCCCTAGACCTGTACATGTCATGCCTGGAGGTTAGAGCCTCCCTCCTTGCACCACCCAAACGAGGAGACGCAACAGGAGGTACAGAGGAGCTTGAGATGTCGGAGGCGGATGGACTTCCCTATGTGAGTGGCCCAAGCGGAGCAGTGATGGAGTGGCCGAGTGCAAGGATCGCATGCCGTGGAAGGGCATTCCCATTCCAACACTCTCATTGGATGGACGGCGGTGTGCTGTGCACCCAGCATCGGGCCTGGGTGTGCTCTCTCCGTGCTGGGCCGACCGGAAGTGGCCATGCTGGCGCACCCACACGACCGTGCTCCTAGGGATTGCATTCACACCATGCCCCTCCCAGGTGGGAAGCGTCATGAGCCTCGTGAGCTCGGGCGATGTCCGGTATCAGGGAGTCCTGAACCATGTGGACATGGCCAACTCCCGCATCACACTCGTGAACGGTGAGGACGGGCAGCCAGGCTGCGTGTTGGCATGGCTCCGCTTCTCGGAGGACTTGTTTCCGCATGGTGTGTGCCTGGTGGAGGTGCGTACCTGGTGCACGGCATTCAGCATGGTTGCGCACTCCCCATACCCGGCTTGCAGTCCGCTGTTATGGCTCGGAAGGCCGCCGAGACCCGGGACCTCAGGTGGAGGGCACCGACGAAGTGTATGCGTATGTAGTGTTCAACGGTACGGCGGGTGCATTTAGGGACCTAAGGTGGGGGTGAAACCAAGGCAGCCACGGGTCTGTTCTGTACACAGCTGGCGGCTTGCTTCTCGCAGGCACCGTTGTCCCTGCGATCTCTGCATCGCAGGCCCCAGTTCCCTCATTCACACCCTCGTGGTCGATCTGCTTGCATGCGCAGGGTGTCTGACCGGCCAACCATATCGCGCAACCCCCACAGGATCGGAGATCAAGGAGCTGACGGTGGTCCAGCCGCCGCCCCCCGAGCCCGCGCCCACGCCGCCGATGGACCGCGCCATCCTCACCTCCAGCAGCGTGGCTCCGGGCCCGCCCGCGCCCAGCGTGCCCAGCGCCTGGGGCACGTCGACCGCCTCCAGCTACTCCGTGCCGGAGGCCCCCGCCTCCGCGTCGGCCTTTGGTTCCTCGCCCTGGGGCCAGTCCACGGCCCAGTCTGGCCCCGCGGCCGCGGGGCCCCGGGCCCGCCCGCGCCCAGCGTGCCCAGCGCCTGGGGCACGTCGACCGCCTCCAGCTACTCCGTGCCGGAGGCCCCCGCCTCCGCGTCGGCCTTTGGTTCCTCGCCCTGGGGCCAGTCCACGGCCCAGTCTGGCCCCGCGGCCGCGGCCGCGGCCGCGCCCGCGCCCGCGCCCGCCCCGGCGAGGCCGCAGGTGCTGAGCGCCGGGCGGCTCGCGCCCGCCGCCGCCCCCGTCATCGAGATCGTCCCGTCAGCCGGCCCCGCACAGGCCACGCGGGGCGACGCGGACCAGCGGCCAATCTCCTACGCGAATGCGGCGGCGGGGGGACGGGGGCCGGGCGGGCGGGGCCCCCCTCGCGGCCGTGGGGCGCCCACACGCGGCAGCAACGTCGGCCGCGGTGGGCGGGGCCCTCCCGGGGGCCCGCACCAACAGCGCGGCGGCGGCCGCGGCGGCGGCGGCCAGGGTCGGGGCGCGGGAGAGAACGGGGCGAGGCCGGCCCGTGGGCCGGGGGGGCCGTGCCCCCGTGACAGTCCCCATACCAAGCGTGCGTGTCGCAGGGTTGGGGTCGTGTCTGATGCCTTGCTTGTGGTCGGCAGGGTTTTTGGAACGGGTGTGTTCACGTGGCAAGCCGGAGCACCGGTGGGGGCTGGGAGGCAGCGCACGGGGATGGCATCCGGGAGTGGGGCTTCCTTGGACGGGCTGTGCTCCATATGTGAGGAGCCACCCCCTCAGACCCCTTGGCACCGCATGGGCTCATGCTCCCATACACCGCTTGCCCACAACCTCCCCACCCATGCATGCGCAGGAGGACTTTGACTTTGAGGGCGGCCTCGCCAAGTTCTCCAAGGAGAAGATCGATGAGGGGGTCGTTGATGCCCTGCCCAAGGAGAAGGTCTACCAAAAGGACGACTTTTTTGACGAGCTGTCCTGTGACGCCCTGAGCCGAGGCCCCCACGGTGTGTACATGGCGTTTACTGTCAGGTCGGGGGGGGGGGGCCCTGCTCAGGGGGGGTGGATGGCGGATGCGCAGTTCCTGCCCGTACAGTCATGCTGCGCCCCCCGCATGGGCTGGGAATGTTATTGATCTCGTCTTCGGGGTAATGGCAGGTACGGGGGGGGTGCTTCTGCACGAGCAGTACGGAGCCTGTTCGATGATTTCAAAGTCCTTCTAAAGGTTTGACATTGAGACATGATCATTTTTGTCACTTTTCAGGCGTGCGGCCGGATGGCAGGGCGCGTGCAATGGCGCAGCGCAAGACAGACTTTGAGACCTTCGGGAAGACCGGGGATGTAAGGCGGGGAGGCTTCGGACGAGGCGACAGGGTGAGCGGGGAGGACATTTGTTTCGGGGATCGATTGAGAGGGTGACAGTTGGGAGCGCATTCACTTGTACAATGGTATGGTTGCGCCCGTCCGACCCGATCGCCTCGTATATCCTCACCCAGGGTCGTCAGCGCGGTCGAGGGGGGCGCTCCAACCCCGTCAATGCTGCTGCTAATGAGCCTCTGAATGCAGGTTCTGTAAGAGGCCGTCCACTCCTTCAGCCATTATAAAACCTTCCACGAGCCTCGATGACGTGACGTATCTTGTGGAGCCATACTCAAGAGCGAGCTAGGCAGTAGCCGTAACGCCATACTGCGGTCACGTGGCCTTCGCGAACGGCGAGTTGGGAGCCTTCCTTCTTTCGTGTCGTACACCTAGAATGCCTGACACATTTGCGGTAGGGCATCCTCACCTCCAATGGGACATTATGAGGTGCTCCATGAGCTCCAATATCAGCGCAGCGGCCTGACAGCCGTGGAGACTCGTTCCTCATACTAAGGGGCGTTGACGTGAGTGTGGGGCAACGGCGGTGAAGCGCCTCGTCAGCAGGCCAGAAATACTCCACAAAACCCACTAGAATTTACTGATCGGATGGCCAGGTGCGCGCGGTGCCGTGATGGGTTTCCATTGGTGATGGGCCTCGACCGAACCCACAACCCTCCGAGGGTGGACTGTACGGGGGGAAACTGGATGTGGCCCCTGGCCCTGATACGTCGGCCACCTTCATGGTCAGAATTATCCTCCCAATCCCATGCGCACAGCAGTTCACCCCCGTCCGGCTCTAATGTGCCTGGAACGCGGCGAAATGGGGACCCACCCCCTCCCGCCGGATTCCGTCCAACTCGTGCTGCTGGTGGGCCAGCCGGCCAGCCCTCCCTCGCCGAGGCTGCAGCTCGGCAAGCGCAGACGGAAGCAGGAGACCCAGAGATGGGTCATCCAGAGCCTCCCGGCCGTGCACATGGATCCCCAGGTCCCAGACCTGCAGGGGTGAGTTGGTCAGGGCGCAATCAGAGCAGGGCATGGGAGGGGTAAGCCTGCTCCATGGCCTTAAGGTTTGTGGTGCAGAACCCTATCTTCATGTTGTTGGTATGTGTAGAAAGTGAACAATTAGGAACGGGCCCTGGGGGCAATGCAGGTGGCATCCGCATTGATAAGTTGAATCCTCTTGTGTACAATTATTCAACACCACTCCCTCCCCATCGCGACCCCCCCCTCCCCCCCAACCCTTCCAGGATCAGGCGCCCCCTCCCTCCATAACCTACGACAACGCGCTGCGCCTCGCTCACTCCACGCTGGCCGCCCTTCAGCAGAAGCTGTCAACCGTCTCAAGCATCACCGCGCCCGACCTGTCTGCTCTGCACAGCGCGGTGAATGCCATGCTCTCAGAGCGGCGGCGCCTCCCCGCCCGGCTGCCGGTGGGCGCCCCCGCCGGGGAGGGCCCAGCCCCCCCCGCCCCGCCCCCGCACCCCGCTCCTCGCTTTCCACGCCCAGCACCAGGGCCCCGGGCATGGCCCCGGGCGCGCTGCGGCCCTACCTGTCGGAGCACACACGGCTGCAGCTGCCCTCTGCAGGGGCCCGGCCGCCGCCCGGCGCCGCCGCCGCAGGCCAGGCGGGGGGGCCCGGGGCGGGGCCCGCCCTGCTGCAGCGCGCGCTGCAGGAGCTGGGGCGGCACCTGGGCTCGGGCGTGGAGGTGCAGCCCGACGTGCATGCTGTGCTGACTGGGCTCCTCACAGCGCTGCTGCAGCAGGGCAGCCACGCCTCGACGCGGCAGTCGCGCGAGCTGACCGACGCCCTAGCTGCCGTGGTGAGCGGGGGGGAGCAGGGGGGAATGGCCTGAGAGCTGTGGGGGGGGGGGGCGAGCAGGGTCGAAGAGCAGGGTCGCCCATGTGCTTTCGGCTGCAGGGGGCAGGGCTGGGCCTGCCGGCGGGAGGTGGTGCCAGGCTGCCCGCAGCCCGCCTGCCTGCGCCCTACATAGCCTCTCATGTGCCTCTATGCCAAGACAGCGCCCAGACTGACCGAGCATTGCCCCATTCCCGCCCTCGCAGGTCGCGGCGCTGCCGCAGATGGGCGGCGCGCCTGGCGGTGAAGGCGGTGCTGGCACCAGGTGGGTGGTGGCGGAGGTGCACATGCGCAGCACCTGCATTCACTATGGCAAAATTTTATCTGCATTGATCGCCGTGGAGCCAGCGCGTCCCCTGTCACCCTTGGCAACTGGCACGGCGGTGGCCCTCAACCCTCCCATCCCCCTTCACTGGTGAGCGCTCAGCAGCCACCAGACCCAGACCGGCCCGGCGTCCTTGCGACCTCGCGCGGCACCTCCGACAGCACCTTCTCCATCAGAGGGCCTGCGTTCGAGCCTGAGCCAGCGCAGGCACATTCCCCCGCCGCCGCCGTTCTCTGGCCATGTTCCCCGCCGGCCCCGGACCCTGGCGCAGCCTCAGCAGCCCCCCGGCGCGGACCCCGCGGGGCCCTCTGGAGGAAGCTGAGACCGACACGAGCGGCAGCCCCCTCAATAAACTGTCCAGCACCGCCTGACAACACCCAAGAAAGATCTTGACGACGAGAGTAAGCTCTGACATGTGGTCTTCCCACATTTGCACAGGCTGATTACACAACCGTCCCAGGCCGACCCTTTTGCGCCTGACTGACCATTCGGGCACATCGCCCTTCTTCACTGCAATCCCCCGTACCCGATGTACTCCTGCTCGCGTGTGTGCGTCCAGGTGTGCTGAAGTCAGGTACTGCCTAGCTCACTGTGGCGTGCACCTGACCCCCTTGCCCATCATAAGAGGCCTTGGCGGCCTCTGACCGCATTGAGTATCCAGTATGAACACTTGCAGGACCTCTTCCGTCTCTGTCGAATAATTCGGATGTAATAAACGCACGTTATGCTCATACCAAGGTGAAGTTTGACTGGCTGAGCTCATCGGTTGCCGTGTCTGTCGCCTTAGCACGCCCAGCACATTGTCCGTGAGATCGCTCCGACGCGGTGCACCCCTCCCGCTCCACACCTCGACATTGTCAAACTTTACGTGTCTACATCCGAACAATTATTCTTCTTGGTGATTGTTCAACGCTCAAAGTCTGCGATCGAGTAAGAAGAGGCAAACCGTCTCGGCCCCTGGCTCCCCTTCACGTGCAGCTCCAGGCCGAGCTGATGCCGTGCTTGCCAGCCCATGCACGATAAGGAACTCTGAGTGGGAGCAGCATGTCGATGCTCAGTCGTCTGCAGGTCGGGACCAGCCCCGGGTCCTGCAGCGATGGCACCACAGAGTATGGCTCCACCGGGTCCGCCCTGGTCAGTCCCGACTCCACGGGTGCGCGAGGAGGGAGGGCGGGGGTGGGACTGGGGGGATGCAGCTCTGCAAGGCGCCAAAATGTGCGGTGTGGGGCACACACCCAGGCGCCCACCTTCAAACTTGACTCGTCCTTGGCATGTAACCGCGCTCGACCCTTCCACCCGGCTCTTCCTCGGTCTGAACAGGAAAGAAGCGCCCGACGCCCCCACCTCGACAGCCACTGGCTCCAGAAGCCGCCGGCCCTGTGCCACGCAGATCCACCTCCAAGCCCGCCTCCTCCCCAGTCTCCTCCGACGGCGCGGGTCCATCGGGGGCGGGGGCGGAGGCCCTGGGCGCCAGCCTCTTCTCCGTCCCGCCGCGGGAAGCCCCCAGCACCGGCATCTACGCCCTCCCCGAGGCGGCCTTCAAGATCCGGGACCTAGACTCCGGCGCGGAGTACGCTCTGGACAAGGTCCGCGGGCATGGGCGGGCTGGGTACATGCCCGGGGACACCGTGTTTCCCTCGCGGCACCTTCCTCCTCCTGCGCATGGCCACTCCTTGCACGTGGCTGAAGCCCTCTGGCCCTGTCCCGGCCTCGACACGCATGAATCTTCATCCTGGGTCGAAGCGCTCCAGACAACAGAATATCACCACCCTCACACATGATTAGCCCCCCCCCCTAAAACGCACAGCGCTTCTGGATCAAGGACCGCGATACCGGGGCGGTGTACGTGCTGGAAAGCGGGGCGGAGCGGGGCGGGGAGGCCGGGCAGGGGCCCAATGGGGCGTCCCCAGGCTCCCCGTCCCCGCTAGACGCCACGGCCGGCCAGGTGCGGGACCTGTTCAGTGGGCGAGCGCTGACCCTGGACGAGTTCGAGGGCGCCATGGGCTACTCCGGCCTGGGCCGACGCTCCGGCCAGGCCGCGGCGCCGGCCACCGATTCGGCCGCGCCCGGGCCGGCGCCCGGCGCTGCCGCCGCCGGCGGAGCCGCTGCCCGGCCGCGGTCGCTGGCCTCCTGGCTGCGGGCGGGGGTGGACAGCGTGCTGCACCGCAGCGGCTCCAACCCGCCGCCGGAGCGCGAGGGCGACGGCCTGCCCGGCAGCGCCGTGCGCAGCGCCGCGCACGGCAAGCGGGCGGGGGCGGCGGGGCAGGTGCGCCTGATGCAGCACCTGGAGGCGCACGCCGGCGTCATCTGGTCCATGCAGTTCTCGCGCAACGGCCGCTACCTGGCCACGGGTGGGTGGGTGGGTGGGTGTGCGTCCGTCTGTGGTGTCTGGGCAAGCAGAGGGGAGCGGGAAGGGAGGCTGTGTTTTCAGAAGGGAGGAATGGGCGGTGCGGGGTGAGTAGGTTTATGCAGCTCTGGAGTGAAATTCGAGAGCAGGCCTAGCCGGTCCCTGGTGTGTCAAGTGCCGCCGCCCCTGCGCCCTTCTCCGCCCGTCTGGCTATGGGCGCCGCCATCGTCGGCCTGCCAGCCAGTGTTATCTCCACTGGTAACAACCCCTCCCCCTCCTTGCTTTCCAACTCGCCCCGCAGCTGGCCAGGACTTTGTGGTGAGGGTGTGGCAGGTGCTGTCTGCCGCACAGCCGGCGGCCGATGGCGAGGCGCGTGGCACGGGGTCGCCTGCCGTCAGCCGCCTGGGGGCCGGGGCGGCGCAGGCCCCGGCGCTCCTCCTCTCACCCACGCCGCACCGGGTGTACACCGGGCACAAGCAGGATGTGCTGGACCTGACTTGGTCTAAAACCCAGGTGGGTGGGGGGGGGGGGGCTCACGCCTGGGGAGGCCAGTGGCAGGGACATATAGTAGCCGGGGAGGGCGCAGCTCGTACCCAGATATCCTGCTGTTCTTCCTTTCCATGTGCTCTCCCACCTTTTCAACAAGTTGTCCCCCCCACAACTCCACCATACAGTTCCTGCTGTCGGCCTCGATGGATAAGACGGTGCGCCTCTGGCATGTCTCAATGGACGAGTGCCTCCGCGTGTTCAAGTGCGTGGCGTGAGATGGGGTTTGGTGACAAGGGGGCTGAGAAAGTTGGCTGGGATTCCGACCACTGGAGGGACAGCCCAGGTCCTGCAGCATGAGGGGAGAACTTGGTATACCTTCCCCGGCTGGGATGGGTGTGCCTCCTTTCCCGCTGCGATCCCTTCCCAATCACACTTCCCCGACATGCAGGCACTCCGATTTCGTGACGGCCATAGACTTCCATCCCTCCGACGACCGGACCTTCATCTCCGGCTCCATCGACGGCAAGGTGTGGACTGGTACCTGGGGTTGTGGCTGTTTTGCCAGTCCTCCAGGCACATGGTGAGCAGCGGCTGGCGGCGCAGCCTCGCGCTCCTCCGAGCACGATCCCTGCAAACATGCCCCTCCCCCTCGGGCATGCAGCTGCGGCTGTGGAGCATCCCGGACCAGAAGGTGGTGTCCTGGCAGGACGTTCACGAGATGGTCACCGCCGCCTCCTACTCCCCCAGCGGGCTGCGAGTGGTGGTGGGGACCATGAAGGGCAAGTGCAGGTGGGCGCCGGGGTCCGCACGGTGGCAGGGGTGGAGGAGGTGGGGGCTGGTGGTGCGGCGGGCGCGGGGATGGGGGCCTCGGTGCGTTGGGGGGGGGGAGTGCGGCTGGGATGTGGGCGTGCAGGGTGTCTCCATGGCCCAGAGTCGCGCTGGGCGTGCGCCGCTCAGTACCGCGCCCACGCCCTGCGCGCGCAGGTTCTACGCCATCCAGGACAGCAGCCTGGAGTACGAGGCGCAGCTGGGTGCGTGGGTGGGAGGGGCGGCGGCGTGAGGCGCGGCCCCAGAGCCTGGTGCAGCGGCCGAGGTGTTGTGATCTGGAGCGCATGGCGCAATGCCTCGGGGTGCCGTCTGTGCATGGTGCCCGCTGCGCACGAGGGCCCATCCCTCCTCCACCCAACCCATCCTCCACAGACGTGAAGAACACGAGGGGCCAGCACGCGCGCGGGAAGAAGATCACGGGCCTCACCTTCCTCCCCCGCTCCCCCTCGCACCTCCTCATCACCTCCAACGACTCCCGCATCAGGCGAGGCCGGGGCGGTGGAGCGGAGCGCGCGCGCCCAGGTGCTGAGGCATGGAATCCCACCCCCTTCCCCCTCACATCCCTCCGCCT